CTGTTTTTATGTGAGTAATGGTTAGTAGCAGTAAAGATATATTTACTTTGTGCTAGAAAAGATGAAGAATTATTTATGACAACACTATTCCATCTCATAACTGAAACAGGTAAACACCTTTGTTCTCCATAAAATGCACTTCTGTTTATGAATCTAAAACTACATTTAAGGTCTCAAAGACCCAAGGTTTCATGTAGGCTTTAATCTGAGCATTTCTGGAAAGCTTACTCTGGAGGAACACTTCAGATGAGGCTGTTCTGCAGGAAATGTTAGCGGTGTTATTGCTAGCAGTGAGATAACAAATGAGGGGAATGTGGCTATGGATTCTGTCCAGGAGCATCATGTAGGGGTCTTCCTAAAGTCACTCTGTCTTCTCATCCCTTTTCTCCTCTCCTGCCTGCAATAATGTAGATAAGACGGATGCAGTTGGGTGTTTTTTTATCTTTTTGCCCATTTTATAGCTCCTGCAAAGTGAATATGCTAGCATTTGATCATAAATTGTAATAGGAAGATGAACACCTTCCATTGGAGCTGTCCCAGTCCCTGCTGTGCTGTTTCACTCACACATTACAATTCTGAATTTAATCTTTTTTTTTCCTATGGTTCTAAGGTTTGTAAACCATGCTGAGGAGTTACTGATGGCCTTTGTTTTGTGGAGCCCTTTGGACTTGTTTATGAAAAACATGATCCTGCATTAACTCACAGCTACCAGTGGAGCTGCACACACACCATGCAGATTTGCAGGTCTGCTTCTGAATTGCCTCTGAAAATGGTGCACTGTGCAATCAACAGGAACTCCTGAAATTACGTTGTTCATATTACCACTTTCTCTTAGAGAAAAAGTCATCCTCGTTTATTTCCTTTGCAATATGGATTTTTTCCAGGTTCCAGTAAAATCTAGATTGGGTACATCTTCCTTGGTGTAGACAACAATTTAGCATCCCCAAACAGATTGGAGTGAATCATTGGAGTCCAGAGCATTAGTGAAAATTGTTTAACAGATAATCGCTCCTGCAGGACCAGTGCTGAGAGCAGTGAGCACAGCACCCTGGTCCCTTTTTCCCCTCCTGTGGAGAAAAGGCCATGACTCTGTAACCTGCTGTGACCATCAGAGTGCTCTATGTAATCACGGAGTTGGGAGGACTTTGGTGGTTGAAACAAATAAAATTAGAAGGGATTTCTTACACTAAAAGAGTTGATTTTATTCCCCAGCTCTCAGTCATACACTGCTCTAGAGGGTATCTGCCTCAAGTGATTTTATTTGATTTGTTTTGGCTACATGGATGAATTCAACATGCAGTTGTGTACCCAGCAGGGGACCTGAGGTGGTGTTTCTTGCCACAGTCCCTGAACTCACATAAATTGAGGTGACTCCGTGCCTGTTCTCTCCTTGTGCTTTCCTCCGCACCAGCACAGTGACTTTGCATCCCATGTGTGGCATAATCCAGTTCTTGTAGAGCCAGATTTAAATACATTGGTGTCTAACTACTGGCTTCATTTTACACACAGTTTTACCTGAGCAGCTCTGTGTTCATCACTCATTCCAGTCCCAGAAATCCTCCTCATTGACATGCAAAGGCCATCAGAGCAGATTCCACAGCCTGCAGGTGTCAAGCAGAACCTTATCTGCGTTTCATGAAGTTCTTTGTGCCATAAGGTTTCAGGGCACGGGGTGTGCTCGGACTGCAGCCAAATCCCTGGCATATCCTGGGTAAGCCAAATCCCTCACTGGAAGTCATTGGATGCAGGAGACCCCTCTGAGGTGCTGCTAAACGCAGGCCCTTGAGCAGAGGTCGAGTGTCAGGTCTGAATCCATTGCTCCTAAAATAAATTTAAGTGGTAGAGGTTAAAATGGTAAAACTGATCCTTCCTTCTTCCTTTCCTTTCCTCTTTCCTTTCCTTTCCTTTCCTTTCCTTTCCTTTCCTTTCCTTTCCTTTCCTTTCCTTTCCTTTCCTTTCCTTTCCTTCCTCCTTTCTTTTCTCTCTTTCTTTCTCCCTTTCTCTCTTTCCCTCTGTAAGTAGATTCCTCAGATGTCCATGCCTGCATCTTCTTCTTGCAAGGCCTTTACCATGCCTTATTAATTAAATTACTGAGATAAATATCTCAAAACACTATTGATCTTCTTTCATCCTTGCTTTTTTCCAGTTCATCTAGGTAATGATAAGGGATCCTTAAGAAGTGAATTCATTACCTTTTTAAAAAATATATATTAGTCTTTTGTTCCTATCCTGGTGACTTTCACCTCTTTGTTTTAAAACACCGTCACACATGTAATTAAAATGTATAATTTTATGTCCTGGATCTTAATCCACAAAGCAGAGCTTCCTGAGCTGTTTCTCCCTCACCCTGACACAGAAAAACACATTTGAAAAAGCTTTTATTATTAAAGGATGCAGTTCACATTTCTTCAGATCTTCCTACTAAGGTATATTAAATAGGAAAAAGTTTGGACCCTGCTTTGCTACAGCCATTGCTAAAGTTGCAGTATTTTCAATTTTTGCTGAGGTCGAACTTGAAAAATTTAAATCATATTAAAGAACCCAAAGATACAAAGGGAAAATTAATTCCTGATGTATCCATATTCACTGAAAAGCATGGTGTTAGCCCAGGAGGGATTTCCATATTAGCAAGCTATGGGCATTTAAAGCATTTTTTTTTCCTACTTCATTGGGATTTTTCTGCAAACGTTGACAGGATGTGTAGAGCTTGGAAAACAAGGCAGCCTGGTTTTACTTCTTATGTTGCATCAAGTTCAATACTGCTTAAAAATAAAGCTCAGTTTGTGACTCAAAGGATGGAGACTGATCAAGAAATCCTCTAAAAGGAAAGATTCTGCAAATGGGAATAGGACATCCAGTGGTTTGTGCCATGGTTTCATTAGAAATTATCCTTTGAAAGTAAACAGGGAAATAAAATCCCCATAAATTCTCATCCAAAACCCCAAAGATTATTACCTGGAAATAGAAAACTTGGTAATTAAGCTGAAAAAAATATTATTATTTATCTGCATCACTGGATCAAACAAAATTTGTTTAGTGTTGCGTTATACCTTCCTTTTCCCATGCAGTGAAATGTGAAGATGCTACCAGTCAGCAAATCAACGTCTGGTTTCTGTTTCCCTGTGCTTTCGAATTTAGTATTGCAGATTGTATTCACTTCATTATTAGCAATTTTGTAAATACATGGAAAATTGGTTTACTTGCCTGTTAATTCATATTCTGAAATTCCACACAGAAAATGAACTACTCATAAGAGACTTACGTAAATCTTTAACTGGATGCTATTCCATGTTACCTACATTTTTAATGTAGTTATGGGACTAATGGTAGTCTCTGGAGCTGTCCTTTTACAAATATAACATATTTATTTTATTATGTTTTCCCCTCTGAGGGACCAGGAACTGGGGAAAAGAAGTTTTCCAAGGCTGAAAAACGTAATGAATTTCTTCTAATTTATACCTGTCTGAATTCCTGTTGTGAGTCCATTCTCCCTGGTGGAATTGCACATCTTCCTGAGTTTTCCTGGTATTTGTGGGGAAGATCCTGTAAAAAATCTGGTGGTTTTGTAGGAGGCTTCTCCTCTCTCAATGGGTCTAAGCCTTGAAAACACACATTGTTAATCCAAAGGTTGTGGGTGTTTAATAATTTCTTGTAGGGAGAACTATGGTAAAATTACACCAAAAGCCAACTGTTCCAAAAAAGTAGCTGAGAAATAGCTCAGAGAAAAAGACTCATTCCAAAAAAAAATACCAAAAAACCTAGAAGAAACCACAGAATTCTACAGTTTGGACAAAGACACCAGAGGCTTCCTATTGTGCACACAGAGAGATCTTAGAACACCAAAGCCTGATCATCTTACATCCTTCACAGAGGTTAGATTTTATTACCAAGGGGGAGAAAGTCCTCAGGCCACAATGCAAACAATAAACCAATTAAGGTATTTGGACAGCAGATCTGCCTCTGAGTCCTCCCACACCTGTGCTGGGACTGCTGCTCCAAACAGTGGGGACTGCCCTGGCTCAGCTCCAGCCACTGGGGAGCAAAGATAAAACTCATTTTTGAGGAGACAGGTGCTAATGTAGCGTATAGTATTATTTACCCTGTCCCAGTTGTTTGCTCTCCAGTACCTCCACTCATCTCTTTGCGCCGCACATCTGCCTGCACCTTCACAAGGCTCTTTGCTGAGCTTCATTTGGTGCAAAAGTCACAGATTTCAGCTGACAGGGAGGGAGTGCAGCTGCCACAGACTGAGTCTGACACTGTTGGGTTTGAGTATCACACCCTGAGTTGTTTCCATGCCACAGGGGAGTAAAGGAGGCAGAATTAAGGCTGCTGGAGTGATGCTGAATTTGTTCTCTCTGAGCAAATCTTCGTTTTTTACTTCAAGGAGTTTTGTTCAGCTCAGACAAGCACACGAGGAGTGTTCGCATCCACTGATTGATATTTTGGTATTGACTGCTTTAGGATTAGCATTTCAGCCTTGATCACTAGGTATATGAGTTTTCAGTGAGAGTCAAGAAAAAGCCTCATTTCTTTGCTGTCAGAACTTCCATGTAGTTTTAGTTTCACATGGAAGTTTTACTTGGTGCTAACTGAGGGCCTTTTGTATGGTATTGCAAATTGGCTTCTAAGAGAAGAGAAGATATAGCTTTGGGTAAATTATCACACTGTTTCATTTCCCTTTCAGGCAGAAAATAGGTAGGAGTAACCCTATATGCCAAAATTAAGCATTATCCCAGTCGTATTCTGTATATCCATAATATATGTGCACACATACAGGAAATAAGCATAGTCCAAGCTTTTGGTTTAATCTTTCATTCATTTGCTTTATACATTTGCACGTGAAATTCATGAAAGGTCAAAAGAATTAATGCAAGTATGAAAACAGTCATTTCAATGCTACAGCTATGTTTTTTCCTCTCATTTAGAAAAAAAAAAAAAGGTGAATTAAAGGAATCAAGGGTTGTTTCCATCAGATTAACAGTGTGCTGTTATTTCAGATAAACCTGCAGAAGAAGATGCGAGTCACTGGAGTTATAACCCAAGGCGCCAAGAGGATTGGAAGTCCAGAATACGTGAAATCTTACAAAATTGCCTACAGTAATGATGGGAAGTCATGGACAATGTACAAAGTAAAAGGCACGAAGGAAGACATGGTAAGATAGAGTCATCTGTTACTGAAAGCATCTCATGGTTTAGCAGCTTTTAGAAGTATGAGATGTCTTGGGTATTTAAGCCTAATTGCCTGGCAGTATGATATAGGTTTCACTGTTATTATTTTTCTGTGTGAGAAAAAAAAAATCAACAAATTTGCATCTCTCTGTGCTAAGAATTTCTTATACTTTAATTGATGGTTGCATAAATACTATTTCCCCAAGCTAGAATAATCCTGTTTATTACACTTAACTGATTTTCATATTAATTAGTTTACCAGTAATTACTCATTGCTCTGTTTTCAATTTCGTTTTATTGCATTGGCAGATTAGCTTTAACCCTTGGAAACACAGAGCCCATTCATCAGTGCTAATCTCTGTGCTGCACAAACAGTATCATCCAGCGGGGTGTGTGTGTTTACAGTCTATAGTTACCATTTATTTTTGATGGAGCTGTGCACACAGAGCAGGAAAAAAACCTTTTACTGTGTAAGTTTGCATAGAAGGCAAAATGTGCTGCATTAGATGTAGTTTCTCTGTCAGGAAATTAAGATTTTGTGTGAAGAGGAGCATAATGAAGGGGAGAAACACAGCACAGGGATGTCTAGTTAGAGGGGGGGGGTGAATAGAAAAGTGCTGGTGGGTTTAACTCATCCCCTCTGTGATCAGTGGGAGGGTTACAGTGCACTTCAGTGGGAGCTGGATCAAGTTATTGAACCAGGGGGGGAAAAAATAAACATCAATCAGAGCAAATAATTGCAGGCTTAATTGAACTGCAACTATTTCATACATTAATCAAGAAAAGAAGGCATAATTTAGTTGCATGAGGAGCTTCAATTTCTGAGAGGGACAGGACAGAGACCTTGGTTTGGCCCAGGCGGCAAACCCATCACAAAATGGCACAGCAGGACATTCTGCTGTGAAAACTTGTGTCATGCACTGGCAGCGCTAAACCAGCTGCAATTTGGGGAAAACCTCTCACAGACAGAACAATTCGGGTGCTTTTGAGACACAGGAACTCGCTGGGACTCCAGGGATCCTCCTGACACGTTTTATTTTGCTGTTGCAAACGTCGTTGCCCCGCAGGTGTTCCGTGGGAACGTGGACAACAACACCCCGTACGCCAACTCCTTCACGCCGCCCATCAAGGCGCAGTACGTCCGGCTGTACCCCCAGGTGTGCAGGAGGCACTGCACCCTCAGGATGGAGCTGCTTGGCTGCGAGCTCACAGGTGGGATCCCCACAGCCCCCAGCCCTCCGTCCCCTCCAGCTGCTCCCAACAACTCGTGCTTTGTCCCCCCTGCGAGGTGCACCTGGCCAGCCTGAGTTTGTCCAGTTGCTTTCATCCTCTTTATCTAATTTTAAAAAAATCACAGAATCACCAGGTTGGAAGAGACCTTCAAGATCACGGAGTCCAGCCCAGCCCCAACCCCTCAACTGAACCCTGGCATCAGTGCCACATCCAGGCTTTGTTAAACACACTCAGGGATGGGGACTCCACCATCTCCCTGGGCAGCCATTCCAGAATTTATCACTCTTTCTGCAAAACACTTTTCCTTGATATCCAGCCTATATTTCCCTTGGTGCAGCTTGAGACTCTGCCCTGTGGTTCTGTCAGTGCCGCCTGGAGAAAGAGCCCAGTCCCACCTGAGCACAACCACATTTCATGGAGTTGTAGAGAGTGATGAGGGCATCCCTGAGTCTCCTTTTCTACAGGCTGAGCACCTCCAGCTCCCTCAGTCATTCCTCACGGGGTTTGTGTTCCCAGCCCCTCTCCAGCCTCATTCCCTCCTCTGGATGTTCTCCAATGTCCCAATGTCCTTCCTAAATTTGGGAGCCCAGAACTGGACACTCAAGGTGTGCCCTCAGCAGTGCAACACTTGGCTCAGCTGAGTGATGATGGCCACTTGCAGTGGCACAGAAATGTGTCCCGATAAGGCTGTGTGCTGTTAACCCATTAACACTCCATATTTTTTTCCTGTGTGGGTTTAATCTCCAGTTGATCACAGGAATCACAGAACCAATGAGGCTGGAGAAGAGCTCTGAGATCATCAGGTCCAGCCTGTGAGTGATCCCCACCTTGCAACACAGCCCAGAGCACTGAGTGCCACATCCAGTCCTTGGATACCTCTAGGCATGGTGATTTAGCAGTTTAAACATGTATTGATGGCTATGTGGACTCAAAATGTACCACCCTGAGCAGACTACAAGGCAGGGAGCCTCACCCAAGGCCTGAAAATGGTTGCTGAGCCCCAGAGCTGCTGGGGACCCTTGGTAGCCACAATTGTCACACCTGATTTGGGAAATTCCTCCTGTGGCTGTGAGGTGGCACCACCCCTGTGCTCTGTGACATCCTCAGAGAGATAAGCCTGCTTCCCCTGGTGTCAAGGACCAGTCCAATAAGACACAACTTGGTTGGGCTGCTTTAATCAAGATTTCAGTTTGGATTTGTTTTCTGAGTTTAGCAGAAGCAGGGATAGCATCTTGTAGCAAAAAGTAAATGAAAAAGTGGACCCAATATAAACCTTCCCTCAGATTCTTATTAAAGCTCTGAAATGTAAAGCCTGACCTCTAGCCACCTTCTGCAAGAACTGTGTTCCCTTATAAATTCAAAAAAGCAGGTAATGTTTTATCCTTTTCCAAGAGATAAACCTTTTTACTGGTGGTAGCACCCTACTGATTCATTTAGGAGTGATTTTTATGTGGCTGCCTCTTTACTAACAATAGTCATCCAGTTCATGGGTGATACATCAAAACAGCTGGAGTTAAACAATTCTCAGTCAAAACCAGATTCAGAAATGAAAAGTTAATGCATTAATCTTGGTGTAGCCCTTTTCCAATATAGATAGGTTGAAGAGTAAATAGAAAATCCTGTCTAGCTGCTTTGTTCTATTAGATTTTTTTTTAATGTCTTCCACTTCTGGAACCACAATTTAGAGTAAGTCCTTGCCAGAATGACTAGGAATTGTTTTGCTCAAAGACTGTAAAAGCTAGTGAAGTAAATTAATTTCAGTGGTCTCCTAACAATGTCAAGGTCATCATCCCTTAAAACTGTGGACAGCTGAGGCTCAGCAGAGCAATTTCAACCTTACTGAAGGAAAGGTGTAATTACACAGACTAATTCTCTCTTAATTCCAGGTGGTCTGCCTTGGGTGGAAAGGCAATTTGAGGGGTCTGCCTTCTCTAACATGGCCTGGTGAGAGAGAAGAGAGTGAGTGGTAAACAGAGGGAGACTTGTAGCATTGGATCATCATAAAAGCTAACTCCTTAGGACAAACTTCAGCAAAATGTTCAATGCAATCTGCTTTAGTCTCATAAATAGCTGTACTTACCAGGACCCACAGTCAGGATCAATGCTAGTGGAGCCAACCATCAATAAATTAGGCATTAATTTTCACGGCCCTGTGTTCCTGCCTCGCTTGTGTTTTGCACATCTCTGTGTCCTGCCCTCCCTTCCCTCCACAGAGTATTGATGTGAGGGGAGAAGCAGATCACAGCTACTGCTTATTAGAATGCCTCTGTTCATTGGGCTGTTATTACTAGCATCATCAAGCTGTTGTTTTTAACAGCAGATCCAGTGCTCACACAACAATGTCGCTCACTCATGGAACTCACTCTTGCACTCCAGCATCTGTCTCCCTGCAGGCAGTCCCTGCTCACAGTCATGTTTGTTGGTTCCTGTGCACAATTCAGCCAGCTCTTGGTGTTTGGCATAAATAAATGTTATTTATTTACCCCAAAATATGTTTGGGGTTTCTCAGTTCCTGCAGAGGGATATTGGTCCCTAGAACCCACCCATCCCCATGGGACTCACTCAGAGAAAGCTCCTGAGTGTGTAATTTTCATCTCCTTCAGGTATGCTGTTCCCTGGTAGCTATTTCTTTATCCTAATGATGCCTTGTGAAGACTGAGCTAGAACAGAGGCCAGACAGAATTACAGAATAAAGCAGAGATTTATCCCAACAATCTCCTCCATGGATGCACCTTGGGCAGCACCAGAGCCCAGCCAGGGCTGCACCCAAGATGAACCAAAATGGCCCCAAAATGCATGGCCGGGCACGGGGTCTGTCCCTGGGATCAGTTCTGCTCCATTTGCACCTTGCAGTTCATTGTCCCATTCCAGCTTTAGCCCAGGCAGTCCCACCCTGCTTGTTTGTCTCTGTCCAGCCCACGGGGTTTGTGCTCCTGGGCTGAGATTTGGGTCATTTGTTCCCAAACTAGAGCAGGAATTGTTTTGTCTCCCTGCTCTGTGCACAGAGTTCACCATCCCCTAAAATGAAGCCCAGACCCACACACTAAAGCCGCACAGAATGTGAAAAATATCAAAGCTAAAACTTGAGGCATCACTAACAGTCCCTCTAGGCACTATTCACACAAAGCTGACGCACAGGGGGACTTTATCAAACCTACAGTTAAAGATAGGTTCCCCTTTCCTCATTTGAACTCAGAACTGTGTAATCTGGAAAGGAATTCTATATTTGTTATTTATAGGCCAGGTTGGATGGAGCTTTAAAGCATTAAGGTTTAATGAAAAGTGTCCCTGCCCATGGCAAAGGAGGTGGAATTAGATTTGCAGCTAGATGATCTTAAGGTCCCTATCAACCCAAACCATTCTGTGATTCAAGAATATGATGAAAATTTTTTAAATGTCTTAATTTTTAGAAACAAAAAATATCACAGTATAAATCGAAACAAAATTACCTTTGCCCTCAAAAATTGACAAACATTGCTTTTGCCGACACTGCACAAATCTTTGTCCGGGACAAGATTCATGCAGACTGTTGCATGCGGATCCATTTGTGGGTTTGCCTTTGCTACATTGGATATTGAATATTTCCTTTGAGGGTTTGAGCTTTTTCAAAGTGTTATGGTTTAGGCCTGGCAAAGCCAAGGCCCCCATAAATATACCTTTTACCTGATATCTGCTGTGAGATGTGGCCAGGAAATAAGCAAAGCAGGCTCCAACTTAAACATAAAGAGAAGTTTATTAACTAAACTACACACACAATTACTAAACTACACACACAATTACTAACCTACACACACACAGGGAAAAAAACAAGGAGAATGAAAACTACACAGAAACACTTCCTTATCCTCCTCCCACCAAATTCCCAAACACATTTACATTTCCCAAAAAATTATCCACACTCGGTCTGGCACCACCCTTTGGAAAAAAAAATCAAATCTTCAGCTCATAAGGGATAGACGGAGTCCTTCCTTGTGCCACGGACTTCTTGTCACAATCAGCAATCCGCCCGGTATCTTGCTATCTCGTGACATCTCCTTTCCATGCCGAGGTGCTCTCACCACCAGGCATGGGATGGGGCAGGGGCCTGCCTTCAGGGCCTTTTAAGAATGCCTCGTCTCGTTCCAAGCAGAGTACAGTCACAATCCTGGGACCTCTGTCCCCCCCCCATGTCTTCTATACCCCCTGGGGCCGAGGGGTCTCAAAACTAAACTTTCTTGACGCCGAGCCTCCGCTTCCCCCTGCAATACAGCCTCTGCCTCACCAGGAAACAGTCCATGGAAATACAACAAAAAAGAGTCCAGCAAAAACTGCCACTCCATCTTCCTCCATTCCTTCAACATCTCTCTTCTCCCTTTGCCAGACCCTCCTTACTGGCCTAATTTTCTTCCTTCATCTTCCACTCCTGTCCCTTTCCCAGGAAAGGCAATGTTCTGCGAAGCCTTCATTCCCCGAAGGGTTAAAGCTCTCCCAGGCGGCCGGACTGCCCGCTGCCCCCCCCTTTCTCCTCCCAGCCGTGCTGCCTGCCGGCACATGATATCAAGTTTCAAGATATACAGTTCGAGCACGGGCTGCATTCTCTGGGGGGGGGGAATAAACTGGTCGCTCAAGGGTCTGCCACCCTTCCTCCGAACCCGGGCCTACCGTAGATGGGCCACGTGGCTCTCCCCTCCCCCAGCCCAGCCAGCAACTGGGCCGGGGGAGAGACTTCTTCACGCCGGAAATCCCAAGAGGGCTCCGAAGGCCAAGAGCCCTGCTTTTAACCCCTTGGGTTCGTAGTCTCAAGAGGCGGATCCAAATGTCCCACTGGTCAAACTAAGTGCCCATCTTAAATTCCAATTACCCATTGGTAATCACAGCAAAACAAAATATCCCAGATGTCCCATTTCCGGTCAAACCACGACACAAAGGAAGAAGTAGATGAGGGTTATCGTATGGATGCAGACTGAAGAGTAAAATATTCTTCCCTCTGAAGAGTCAACAGAGGAATACCTTTGTGTTTATTCCTCCAATTTTAAGGTGCTAATCCCCACTCTTTCTCATTATTTCTTTTCTCCATCAAGCTAGACCAAATAGGACTTGCAAACTTATACCTGGTTATATTTAAACATACATTTATCACAGATGGAGGCATCCAAAGCATCTCAAACATTCCAGCCTGAGATGCTCCACTGGGTGTAGCCAAGTGTCTGCATCAGCTATCTCCGACTTCAACAGATTTCAAAAAAAGAAAAATGGGAATTGAATCCTCTCACAGGGACATTGAAAAGCAAATTTAAAGGCACAGTGAAGTGGAGATGTTTCAGGGAGACATAAGCATTGTTATAAACACACACCTGTGAGGGATGACACAAAGCCGTGTGCTGGTTTGATGACCCTGCAGGGTTATGTCTCTGTCATCCAAACAGCCACAGTCTCCTGTGGCAGGGGCTGGGAAGCTGCTGCTCTCTGTGGCATGGCACCAAGACATCCTGACACCTGTGTGCACCACGTTTGCCTCTTCAGATTCTCACTGTTCTTCTCACTTTCTCCCGCTGCCTTTAACAACTGTCTGCCCACCCCCTTTGGGGCCACGGAGAAGGCAGGCGAGTGTAAAATCCCATTAATTCATGCACGCATGCACAGGCACACAGGCACGCACAGCTGTTGCTTCATAAATCAATAATAATACCCAGAAAAGATAGAACTGGTTTTTGATGGATTGGGCCAGCACTGAGTCACAGCTTTGACAGCCCATGGTTTTGTGACAGGAGCCTCCTTAGCATTCCTTGGATGAAACATTCTTGCTGACAGTCCTTGTGATCCTGGAGTGATACTTCAGAATTTAATAATAAGCAAAGTCCCTCTCCAAAGCAACAGATTAGTCTCTCTTATTACTATTACCAATTGCTTCCTCCCACTCCCAGGAAAATTGTTTTGTTGTGTTTTTGAATGAGTCCATTCCACAGACAAAGCTGTGCCATTTCTATTTGTGCACTGAGAATCAGTTATGTAAGATTGGGGATTTTTTTTTTCAAAAGTTAACTCTATTTTCTTTTGGCTTTCCATTTGTTTGGGTTTTGTTTTTTGGGGTTTTTTTGGGTTTTTTTTTTTGTTTTTTTAATTTAACATGAAGTATGTCAATATTCAAATTTTAAATACAGGAGATGCTGCATTAAAGATCATGTTGTTAAAAATATAACTGCCCATATGCAGGTTTTTGACTGCTGAGTCAGGAAGGAAATGAGAAAACAGCTTATTTTTTTTGTTGCCATCTCCATCTTTTCCATCTTTCACTTTACCCCAATTATCAAGTGTCACTCCACCCCGGCAGCCATACATCCACCTTTCCTGTCTTCTTAGCAGCCTTCTCTCTCTCAAAAAGCCTTTCTTTTTCTGATTTGTTTGTTAAATCTTAGAACCATGCAGTTCATCTGCCTTCTCTGGTTTCCAATCCTGTTGTTTCAGTGCTGCCTCATCTTGTTTCCTCCCTCTTCTGCATCCAAATGTGCCTTCCACATTCCCAGCACACAGAAGCAAGGCAGAGGAGCACAGAGCCGCTTATCAATTTTTATTTTTATCTTTTTTTTTCACGCAGAACAGAGAAGGGAGAAGCCCGAAATCTATCTTTTCTACGGCAAAATAACTCAGTGGTGTGGGATGTCCACAAACAAATAAGCCATTAACTATCGATTTCTCCTAAGTGATATCCTCCTACTATCCTCCCTCCACAATTGTTTTTCTGTGGGCTCTCCCTCCTTCCATGGGATTTTGGGCTTTCTGGATTTTTACCTAGATGTCAAATAATTCAGAAGTGTAAAAGAGCTCAGTGCTTTTTAACATTTTACTGCAGCAGTGGTTTTTAAGAAAAAAATAATGTTTGTTCAGTAAGCAAACACATGGTGGATGTGAGGTGGCATAAAAGCATAAGGAAAATCAAACAGAAGAGGGGAAACAATATTTTCCTGTGGGAGAAGAAAATAAAAATAAGATAAGCACAGACAAAAGTCATCTTTTCATTTTGTTTCGCTTCATAAATTTATGCCAGGATAAAATATGTTGAATTCTCTATCTTGATTTTGATTCACCCAAGCAATTGTTGAAACAAAGTGCCTGGAATTGACTATTTTTCATTTATTTGTTTTCGAGTGTCTTCAACAATAGCCTTGATTACATCTTTTTCCTCAAGTATTGCAGGTTTCCTCCGCCATAACAAAAAAACCTAAACCCCTGACAGAGATAAGCAGGTAGCGCCACTGATCTTGCCCTGCTGTTCCAGGTTGCTCTGAGCCCCTGGGGATGAAATCAGGACACATCCAGGATTTCCAGATCACCGCCTCCAGCGTTTTCCGTACCCTCAACATGGACATGTTCGCCTGGGAGCCCAGGAAAGCCCGGCTGGACAAGCAAGGCAAAGTCAATGCCTGGACCTCTGGCCACAATGACCAGTCACAGTGGCTGCAGGTAAATTTTCACGTGGATTTCCCCACTTGTTTGTCTTCTTTGTGTTTCAGGCATGGGGACAGTTCTCTGGTTCAGTTTTATGTTCAAATTCTTCTTTTTCTGGCCGTAACCCTCCCAACTCTGCCACGAGCTCTGAAAGCCCAACATATCTTCATGTTTTTGTTGTCACAGCTGCAGGAAAATATACTAGGGGATGCTTCTGCAAGCCCCAGTTTTCCTTTGTTAATGAACAAAAATGGTGGTTGCAGATCTGATTCACTGAATTCCCCTCATTTGTTGAGAGAGATGAGTTTATTTTCCTCCCCTCTGCCTTTCCAAGGCTCCCTGGAAAAGCATATTTACTTTCAGCTCTGTGCACCTTAGCGAATCCCGTGCATAGAAATTATCTTTGTCTAATTGAGGCTGCCCAAAATTACCTTCTGGAGCCAGCAAGACTGATTCAGCCCCTGAATCCATTATCAACCTGTGCACAGGGGTTGTTTTCAGCCCAGGAGTGATTCATACAACTCACTAATGTGAGGGATTTCAATAAATCACCAGTGTGGGAGCTTGTTTGACCAGCCACTGGCACATTTACATTTTTTGAACTGTTGAAAATAGCAGTGTTTTCAGTCAGCTGCCACTTTGCAGTGCAGCTCTCAGTGGGAAGCCTCAATAGCACCAGACATGGCTACTAACCCCCTGCAATCTCTCCACATATAAATTATGACATATTAGCCTTTTTTGCCTACAGCTGCTAAGCAAGTTAGGAATATGATTACTGGGTTTTTTTCTCCCAAGTTTATACACTTTCCATAAAAGGAAGGAGAAATTGCCCTATCTATTTAACTTTGGAATAGCTGAAGATCCTAAAATCTGCTGAAATTCTTTTAGAGCTGCATGTTGGAAGAGCAGTTAGTAACTTCTGGAGAGGATGAACATTTTACTGCTGTGCTTTATGGTGGAGAAGCAGATGAAAATGTTTTTCCACAGGAAAGAGAGGTGGTTGAATCATATTTTAGCCCATCAGTCAAACCAAGGGTGTACAGAGGCTCCACAGAAATTTCCTGTTGTGTGTTCTTGCTCCTGTGGTTGACAGTGTATTTTTAATTAACTACAGATGGCCCTACAAAGGGCTGCATAGCTAATCCTTACATTTTCAAACTTTTCAGGCTGTTGTAGTATTTCCATATTTGAATTTACCTGAACCTGCAAATTTAATCTTATCACTTGCACTATCTCTTCAAGTCTTTGAACTATAAGGAATAATTTCTATTGTCCAGTCAAAAAGAAAGTTGTGAAGAAACGTTCATCTTTTAGTTGGCTTTTCATATGGCTGTGTATTGAGTTCAACAATTCCACGGGAATATTAACAATCTACCTTTTCCTGAAAATCATTATGCATAATGATATTTCCTCAAAAAAGGAACCTAACATTTCATGTTTGAAAAAAAAAAAAGTTAAAAAAAAGAAAAGAAAAAAGTCCAGCAAAACGAAACCCCGAAAGGCATTAAATCCACTTGTTTCTTCAGTGCTTAAGGTGGTCATTACCTTCTGCTACAGTCTGGTTATTCTGAATTCAGGCCATGACTTGAGACAGTCTCATATGCTTCCAGTGTAGGTAATGATTCTGCAACAGAGACATGTCTATCATTTGAATTCATCTGTTCATTCTTGTTCTCCCTGCTGGTAGCTCTCTGTGGGTATTTTTGGTGGTTTTTCTTTTCCTTAAAACGCAGAGTATTATATTGAAGCCTTACAACACGTTGACTGAAAGGTTTATCATCCTGCTGCTGCTTCCACAGAGTTTAGTCAAAACACATTTGTAAGGAAAAGAGCGTGAAAGAAATTGTGCCTGCATGCCCTACTCCCTCAGCCATTCCACAAAGAACTAAGCCCAAAAAAGATGATTCCATGGTACCCTGAAATGGGCTTAAAGCCAGACATTTAGCCCAGACTTCTGGATTTTGCTGAAGTAGCTGGCTTACCAATATCATATTTACCATGTCAACTTTCCATGCCTTTTGAATGTTCTCCACGGGCCTTTCTTGCTTTATGTTTTGCACCTTTTTTTGCATGTTTTGCACTTTTATACTTTATATTTTGCACTTTTTGCTTTATATTTTGCACTGATTTCCACGAGAAAGCCTGAAAAACTGGGGGCAAAGCCTGCTGTTTGCCTTTTAGGATCATTGTTGGGGTGTGTGGATGGCTTGAACAGATCTGATCTGACTAAATGTCATTGTTGGGGTATCTTTGCCTAAACACCATGGCTACCAACAGTTTAAAAGCTGGTGTGCTGACATCCATCTCAGAGCACCTGCTGTGATAATGTTTGCTGAGAGGTGATGTTTGAATCATGCATCAAATGCTACTTGCACTTTTGGATGAACTCTGGAGATAAATTCTCCTCTCTCAGGAGCTGGAACTGTTTTACTCAGTTTTCTCTCAGAAAAGATAACTCTGAATCTCCTATGTATTCTAAAATGCAGCCATCAACAATTAAGCTCTTCGGTTTCAAGTGTTTTGGATTGCTGCATCCATAATTTAGGAATATGAAGTATTTTGTGTCTCCAGGCACAGAATGTGCATTTTTGGGGACAAAATACTCACCTTAATCATGCTGCAGTTGTTGAAAATCTGCTGTGACTTAGACTCTACAAGCTACAGATTGCACAAATAACATTTATTTACACAAAACACCACCATTAGCAATGAAAAAAATGCATTTTCTTGACATGATGGGAAAGTTAAATAGATTACATGACTAAAATTGTACTTTTCTAGCTGTGTCATAAACTTGGGGCTGAATTCCCCACGTTTCCTCAAAGATACTCTTGTCATTCCCTTGAAGAGGATGCTGCAAGTTTTTGGAGTACTCAGGCTCCTTCTGGACACAATCCAGGATTACTCTTCCATTTGGTGACCCCACTTACCATTTCTTCACTTATTTGGCTTTAAAAGATATAATGGAGAATTCCCTGCCTGATGCCCAAAATGAAGCGCTGAGGCTGTAAAGATTATTTTAAAAAGTGCAACTGATGTTTCAGATGCTTAGAGAATGCTCTTGTAAATAGATTTTTGCCGCTCCATATCTCATTTTCCTAGCTGAGGGGCATAACTCAAAATAATTAACATTTTTCTCAAAACCCATGCCCGCTCTACTTCTAATTTCCTGCTGTTATAAATTGTGAAATCAGGGCAGCAGCTTAAACTCCCTTTTCTTTATTTACTGTTAGCTAAATTCTGGTGTGTCACTTCATTTGGTGTCTCCAAACACCTGGAGCTTTCTCCTCCCACTCAACCATCCCTTCTGAATAAATTGTTTTGTGTCTTGTCCTAGTCCTGACTTTGCAGCCATACCAGGGTATTGTCAGTATTTTATCTTAAAACTGATGACGTGTTGAGTTTTTTTGGAGGCAACAGCAATGTCAAATGGCAATATTTCTCCTGCTGATTGTGGAACCAGCTAAGCACTATTAGAGAAAAAGCAGTTGGTGATAAACAGATTGTTGGAAGATTGGCAGAGCAACTGTTATACCTACATGCTTTAAAAATGTGGTGATTGCCAGTGGTATAATGGATGTGGGTTGGGTATTTTCCTGCCAAGCTAATCTCCAGTATTAGACAATATTACTGGGATTCTTTATCAATGCCATTAGATTGTCTCAGAGCTGCAATCAAATTATTCTTTCAGTTTAATGCATAGCCATCTTTTCCACACCAAAATGCCTCTTGTTTGAAAACAAAGGCAAAACTGCATTCCAAATAATTATCCTCTTTTCGTTATACATATACAAAATGCATCTCCATCATGCCATCATGATATTCATCAGTTACATTCATTTATATTTATATTCATTTTCTTGCATTTATTTCCAGTGTTTAAGCTTCCAAGTGATCAAATCAAAGAGTTGTTTTTTTAAATGCTAAGCCAAAATCAGTTTCTACTCTTTTTTTATAGACTAGTTTCCAGAAGTGGAAATGTGTCTACTCTGCCAGCCACAGAGAAAGATGGACAATTAGCTTAAATTATAAGAAAAATATTTGAACCAGGAAAGTTACATGAGGTGACTCTTTCCTTTTTTTTTAATATAGGAAGAGAACATTATTTTCCATCAAGTATTGGTTAGGTGAATTTGTTTCAATGCTGGCATTCGTCTGAAGAACAAGGAATGTTTTTTACTCTCTCACGTGGTATTTTCTTCTTGTCTTGTCTGTTATTCCACCTGACTCTTCTCCCCGTTTTTTTGATGTAACAATCTGTTCATTTGCAATGAATTCTGAAAAATCTTTCTAGATAAAAAAATCACTATACCATAGCAATTCAACAACTCATCTGGAGATCTGTGCAACAACTCACAAGGAGAAAACTGTGTGGATTGTTTAATTTTCTTTTGACAATTAGTGTCATTAGCAAAGCATTTATTAATTCCAGTTCTGGTTAAAGTAGCCAAATAAGAGATGTATATGTGGCCTATAGTTTAATTATTTTAACACCCACACTGAAAAACAAAACAACAAAACCAAAAAAAAAGAGAAAAAATAAACCAACCCCAGAAAATGCTTAACAACATCTAAATGCAATAAGGGCTTGGAAGATGCAAAATTGGAATAGGATGAAATGTTCATTTAAGACCAGTCTGTTAATTAACATAATGAGGAAAGTGTGTGACTTCTGGAAGAGTTGGATTGCTAAGCCATGTATTATGAGTGGGCTTGGGGAGACAGGGAGTTCTGTGGGAGCTGTGAACTGAAATAAATCACATTATAAACAGAAGACACCTGTATTTTTCTGCAGCTTTATTAAAAACCAGTAGGCCACAAAAGGAATCAATGCTCTGTACTGAAACAGCAACAAAATTGGTCTCTGCTTCTCCAGATGCAAAGCTGGTGCTGGTTTTTTATTAGAATTTCTCACAATCCTAAAGTTCTTAGATTTCAGATAACTAAATGAAAATTGTGAGGAGATCAGCTTTTTTTTTTTTTTTGTGCTTTCTACTGGGATAAAAAAATTATAT